CGAAAAGCAAGAAGTTTCTTGAATTTCATGGGAACAATCATGTTTCCAAAGACTGTGCTGCATAGAATCAGTTAAAGGAAGTGCCGTGGCATTGCCAGTTTCTCATTCTGCACACATGTATAGCAGCAGCAGTGTTACAAAACTGATATCAGAACAGACTCTGTGGGAGTAGAACTGAGTTATTTCATAAGAATAAATGAATAAACTATGAACTGAACCTTGATTCAGTTTTTCTTTCATAAGAAAAAGTGCTATGTTTTTGACAGTAGGGAAGGAATTTGCCTTCGTCATAGTATTCTAAAATAGTTCTGCTTAAATCATCTTTTTGGAAGTCATAGGTTTATCACTGTTTTTGGAGTTTTTGTGTGTTTTTTGGGTGACAGAAACACATTGTTGGTGCCCCCTTCTTTTCCCGTTTTTTGCCTCCCTCTATACGCGTGAAACAGTCCACTTGCTTACACAGCAGGCTTCAGATATCAGGTCCTGGCATTTAGAGAAATCCAGCCTGCTTTGCTTTTCTTCAGGCACATATTTTTAAAGAAATTATACATATTAAAAACTATTTTGCAAATACTGCTAACGCAACCACTGGAATGACCACTACCAGGTGTACTTGGCTTACTAAGTGACTTGTTGTATTCAGACACTTTGAATCAGAAACTATGTACAGAATTGATGTACATGTTGTTTCACATTTGGCGCATGTGGTAGCATAGTTGGCTGAGGCACTATGCTACAAGCTGGTGGGTCACAAGTTTGATTCCTGATGAGGTTACTGGATTTTTCAATTGACCTAAACTTTCCAGCCACACTATGGCCCTGGGATTGACTCTGCCTCTAACAGAAATGAGTACCAGGAATCTTCCTAGGGCTGACAACATATAAACGACATATAAACAACACATAAGGCTGACAACCTCACTGCCATCTGTGAGCCAATTTCCTAGAAAATGTGGGAGCCTCGATGTCTCACAACCCCATGGACCTCCATGGCCTGTTACATGGATAACATTACCTATTGTTTCATATGAACGGCTACTAAAATGCTAAAATGCTTCTCTCCAGCTGAAAATAAAACAGCAGAGCTTGAATGAGCCGCTCTTATCACAGACAAAAGATGAACTGAGCTATATCCTTTCTTGGTCTTGGACTGTGTGTTTACATTATTGAGACCAATGTGGCTAGGCTGGTGACATATGAATTAGTACACAGTTCCACAAAGCCAGATGAGATAAATAAAGACAAAAGGATTTGAGATAGAGTGCCAGGACATTTTAAAATGACATAGATGGCTTAGTAATCTAGAAACAAGTGATCTGGCCTTCTTGAAACTGTGCTTTATCAAATACAAAACCAGTCTTAGCCTATATTCTGAATATATTGTCCAAGAACTGGTATCAAAATCACAGATTTCTCGGATGAATGTAATAAGGTCATAATTTGTGTTCTCCATCGAATACAGTGCAATTGTCTTGAGTGCTTCCATCAAATAGTTGAGCTGCAGAAGAGACAGATGCTCCTCCTGTCAAGTGAGTGCTTGAATTTCAAGAGTTCTGACAGGTCTGAAAATCCAAGAACTGTATGCATTACAATTACTCTTAAATTTCACCCCACTAAGTTGTCAAACAGCTATTGGGAAAGAAGCTTATGCATTCTTTGCTGGCCCACTCATAATCTCAAGCCCCATCTTGATGTGATACTGCTTTTGGCCTGTTGATATTGAGTATTGAGGGGGTGGGTTACCCCATGCACCGCGATCAGTTTGATCTATTGTGCGTCCCTCTTTGAATTTCTACTGTCTCCCTACCCTACCGGTACTGGTGCTTGCTATCGTTCCCTTTCTGCCAGCGAGGTTTCGGCCTTCTACTGGCAGTGGTATCTGATAGTCCCTTTCTGTCAGTGAGGTCATCCCTCCTCTGGCAGTGGTACCTAAGCTCCCCCATCTACCGGAGGCATTGGAAACTACTTGGGCGGGAAATTGCCTAAATTTAGCTTAGAGGTCTCCTAGAGACATGAGGTTCTTTTATGTGCCGTAAATCTACAACATGGGACCCGTGGCTTAAAGTCCCTCCCAGAGGACTTGTTCCCTGAATGTTTCCGCCCTTAAAAATTCCACGACCTCTGCCGGGTTTGAACCCGCGTATCTTGAGTCATGAGGTGGGAACGTTATCCCTAGACTACGGAGGCCACTTGGCCTGTTGATAAGTAGTAGTTCACTCATTTATATTATTTCCTATATCAAAATGCCATGTGTGAGTTACACATTACAACAAGTGCCCATATACAATAACTATGTAATAAGCACTTGTCTAAAAGATAAGATTCTGGCATAAATTTCATGATGTTACAGTTCCATACAGAAAAACTTCTCATATTGTAGTAAATAAATTTAGGTTAGTTATGGACAAAAAACTCCGTGGTCTATAGTCCACCAGCAAACTATACCAACTGAGCGAGTTATGGACAAAAAGAACTTAAAATTTAAAGTTTACTGTGTGCCTGAAAAGGAACATCAACACATAGTGTGAGCTTCTTAGAGAGGTGCTATTAAAGCACAACTGTAGGAACCATTTCCAGCATCTTCTATGATCTGGGTGAGTTCTGTAGGATTTGAGGTTTTCACAGCGGTGGTTATGAAGATTTCTGTCTTCTGGGATATAATGCCATGTAGTCCATTGAAAGTCAACTGACGTTTCAGAGGAACGTATCACTTCCATATTCAGGGTTGAAGAATAAGCCAAGCAAGAAAGCAGCATGAAAGCAGGTGGCAAGCAACGCAGTTTCTAATTTGTTGGTCTATAAGCTTGTTGATCTCACTGGGAAACTGATCTTCAGCAGCCTGATTTGGCAGGAGGGTCATGGGGCTCTTTTGCCTGGATGGCTTGGTAATTTGCACTGAGATGGTTGCATTGTATTATTAGAATATTCAAAACAAGGTGGGCAGCATAAATAACACACCATAGAGACAATGAGAAATGCATAAGACATTTTGTTAGAACACTTGAAGAGACTGCTTGGAAGCTCAATGTGCAAATGGCAAGATATTATTGAAACAAATTTTAAAGAAATAGAGTGGGATGGTGTGGGCTGGATTAATTTGGCTTAAGTTAGGGATCATTGGTAGGCTCTTGTGAGGTCTGTAATGAACCTTGAGGTCCCTGAAAGACAGGAACTAGCTGAGCAACTCTTAGCTTCTCAAGAATGTCTCTATTCCATGGAAACAGTTATGAGTCTAGTTTTTTCTGTTGTTTACATGTACATGTCACACATCAGTGACAGTTGTGCACTTTAGGAAATGAAAAGATTTGAGAACCACTGATTTATTCAGTATATTACTTTTAACACATCTTGTGTTCAAATATCATCTGTGTAGCTTTAAGTGAAACAAATTTGTATGACTCCCAAAACTGAGTAAACTTCTATTCGTTCTTCCCAGCCTCTTGTTTGTGAGTTCACATTCCAGTACTGCAACATAAGGGTGTTGGGTTAGTTGTGTTGCTGACATTGCCAAGTTGTGATATAACTTACTTTAATCAAAACTGTTGCTGAACTTGAAGGCATGATTCAGTCCCATAGCTAAAGGCGTGGTTCCACTAGTGCAGTAAGAATGTGTGACTGTTGCATGCTGCGGTTGCAGTATGTTTAGGTGGTTCAGCTTCTGCAGCAGAGCACAGTCACTATCTCTTGCAGTAACTACATGAATTTTTGAACATGGATATTGTGAAAATAGTAGTGCTTTAAATCTTAGGAAACAAGAATGGAATGAATTACTGGGTTTTCACATCGTATCTATTGTCTGGTAATCTAGTAACTACAAAATACAGCTTTTCAGAAACTGGATCTGTTTCCGTCCTCATGTGGGGGCAGGGTAAAGACATCTACTCAGTTGGGTCCCCTAGAAAGAGCAGTCCAGTTATTGAGGTTAGCTTTTTCTAAGGGACCCAACAGAGCAGTTGTCTGCCTGAGGACAGAAACAGATGCATTTTCGAAATGTTGTGTTTTGTAGTTTCTAGATTAACGGACAATGGACAGTCAGAAACCCAGTAATCCTGAGTATTATACACCATCATCAGAACCCTTAAGAATGGAATGAGCATATCAGTCATTTGCTCTATAGGTTGAAGTTTGTGTTAATATGTGCTCCTCTACAATTCTGTTCCCTTTAGCATTTCATAACCTTATCCTAACCAAATTGTGACTGAAAAAGGAAAGGCCTCAACTTTACCTTATCCTCTGTTGATGGGTCACCAGTTAGATAAATCAGATGGGGGTTGATTCCTGGCAGGGGCAGAATTCTGTCTTCATTGCTATGTCCAGACTGCCTCTTTGGGCTGCCCAGCCCCCTGTCCAGTGGGTACTAGGATCTCTTCCCCATGGGTAAAGTGGCTGAAGTGTGAAGTTGACCAATTATATCCAGCTAGTGCCAAGGCTAAAACTACATGGAGCTGTGCTTCTTTATGGTTTATTCTTAATTAAGCATTAGCAACAACTTTATTTATATATATATATAGCACCATTCATTTGGTCAGGTACATCATTTGCTGCCAGCATTTCAAAGCGCTTAATTCTGTTAACTTTATTGAAGGCTGTCTATAAAAGCCATATGAATTTCAACATTACATACTTATGCTTTTTATTTACATGTTCAGAGAAAATATCACTACATGAGTGTCGTTTTCTGAACCCTTCACCTTATTTATCTTTAAAACGTGTTTCATTACATGACACGTACTCCACCAGCTTCATGTCCCCATCATGAGTAAACTTTATCCCCCATGGAACAAAAAAGAAATGTGCTTTTCACAGAAAGACAACTTGCTGCTGTGTCAGACAAACACTAACTGGTTCCAGCAGCAGTCATTGCAGTCCATGCATATGGCAACATGCAGCAGCCGCAGTAATGGATCCAGATGCATTGAAATGCTGTTGTAGCAGTGACTGTGTCTGATGCTGCAGAAATGGAACCATACCTTAAGTGAGTTGTTGTGATCCAATTTCAGTCCAAACTGTTGCTGAACTTGAAGGCATGATTCAGTCCCAGAACCAAGTGATGGAAAAACTGAAAGACGAGTGTCACTCACTTACAGAGAAGCTGGAGGAGTCCTCCAACAGACACAAGTAAGCGACCCCTAAATGATATGCAGTGGCAGACATTCCTCAGCTTCTGAACTCAGAATAGTGGTGCTTCTCTTGCTCTTTGCTTAAACAGCAGAATGACTGAATTTCTTTGGTTAATGTTGCTCTTCGAAAGCTTTCACAGTGATTTGTTGAGACTTGTGTAACTGTTTTTACCTTGTTCCTTTCTTTCTTCCTACTTTCTTTCTCTCTTTCTTCCTTCCTTCCTTTTTGTCTTCCTCTCTGTCTTTCGCTCAGTTATTATATGGTGTAACCATATTATGGGCTGGTCTGTCAATGTTTTGGATAAATTATCAATTTCTTTCCTTCAAGACTGACAGTCAAACTAGGACCTCATATTCTTAGTGCTGAACCAAGAAACTTCACAAAAACATTTAAGGGAACATCACAATATCCTACTGCCCCATGATGCACTAGGCCTGCAGTCGGCCATTTCTCCCTGGAGGTTGAGACTGTTCCAAAATATCAGTAAACTTTATTATGATATGGTGTCATCACACAAAAATGAAAACGTGAACTTTAGATGCTGTTCTTGTTTGGCTGCAGTTCTGACACATATTTTGTGTTTATAAGCTGAGAGAAAAGTCAGTGCATCAATAAACTATTTTAACATAGTTTCCATTCTGTAATCATATGGAAGGTGAATTTCAGCAAAACTACCACACATTATACTGACTGAAATATTTAACTGTGTGCCTACTTTCAAAAGTTCTTTTATAGATAGCCAAGGGGATGGAGTGAGGGGGAGAGTAAAATTAATCCTCTTACTGCCACACCTTGTTCTGCAGACTGTAAGAATTGCTCAGCAGCTTATTGAAAACTGAACAACATTTAGAAGAGGCCAGCACTAGCCTTCTGTGCACAGAATCTTGGGTTTGAAACTGGCCATATGCGTTGTGGATTTCTCTGCATGCCTTTTCCTTCTCTCATCTGTGTTGTGGTCAGAACTACATACTATTGGAAAGTTCCCAAACTAGGTCAAAAAAGAAATGCTGGCTTAACTCACTCAATTTTGGCTTCCGTCTCCTTCAAAATAGTCTCCTTGGGAACGTATACAGCAATGCCATCATTTTTTCCATGCTTGAAAAGCACCATAAAAATCTTTTTCCTTAATGCTGTCGAGTACTGCTTGCGACTTCCTTTGGATGTCAGACACTGCTTCAAAACGTTATCCCTTCAGTTTTATTTTCAATTTGGGAAACAAAGCAAAATCACAGGGGGCTAAGTCCGATGAGTAGGGAGGTTGGGGAACGATAACTATGTTGTTGTTCGTCACAAAGTCTGTGGTTTTCAAGGACATGTGGGCAGGCACGTTGTCATGATGATGAAGCCAGTTGTGGTTGTGCCAAAATTCCAGTCTTTTTCCTTGCACATTTTCTGTCAACCATCTCAGAACATCACAGGAAAAGTCAGAGTTTGCCGTAGTGTTAGGAGGAACAAATCCCTGGTGTACAATCCGCTTCGCATAAAAAACAACAATGAGCATGCTCTTTGTTGATCTCCAGACCTGATGTACCTTTTTTTGTTTTTGGTGAGAGTGGGCTCTTCCACCGTAATGATTGTTGTTTTGTTTCTGGATCATAACCGTAAATCAAACTTTTGTCACCCGTTATGACCCTAGAGATACGAATAAAATTTGGATCCTCATTAGCCTCCTCTCTTAGCTCAAGACACACATTTATGCACCGCTGCTTTTGATCATTTGTCAAGAGTCGGGGAACAAACTTTTCAAACCAGAACATGTTCATATTTTCTGTTAAGGCCTCCTGGAAAACTCCATAACTGATCCCAGTGGTATCTGCGAGCTCATGGATTATTCAGCAGTGTTCTTCTTGGATGAGTTCTCAAAATTTGTCAACATTTTCTGTTGTTTTGCTTATGCTTGGTCACCCTGAACTTTTATCATCTTCAACTGACACTTGACCGGCCTTGAAACATGAATACTATTCAAAAATCGTTGTTCAGCTTAAAGAATATTCTCCAAATTCCTCACAAAACATTTCAAGTTTTCAGTAGCAGATTTACCGATTTGCACTTGATATAAACACATTGCTCAATTTTGCCATCCATCACAAACAAAATGAAACACAAAGTCAGAAAAGCACTCATATAAAAACAGAGCATGTTCTAGTGAGGTGTCATGTGGCAGACTGATGCCATAGGCTTCTGGAAATGTGAGCTTTGCCCCCCGTCTCTTCTTCTTTCACCGATACAGTCCAGGAACTTTCTGATAGTACATGTGAGGTACATTGGGCCTCAGTCTCAATCATGGTTTGGATCCTAAATTAAGCTGTGAATCCTGTCTGATTGCCATTGTCATTAAGGCCCTATATATACTCGCAACGAAAATATGAGTTTCCTACCTTTCTCTTTGCCATTTAGACAGAGGCCATCCATCCCTGGAAGTGTAAGCTGCATGCTCTAGGTCAGAGACCTCTATATTTAAGATAAAGTACAGAATATTGAAAATCAGATATATTGTATGGTTTAAATTCTATGCAGCAGCAAACCACTCTCAAGTGCTGACCACATATTGTCATGGCAGGCTTATTAGAACCTGCCTTATCAGCATAATTAGTTTAAGGAAAAAGTTAATAATGCAGTGTTTGTGGTGTGTTTCACTTTTATTTATAAAGATGCACTGTGCCTGTCTTTCATCTGCAGCCATATGTAAAAGTTCAGGCATAAGATTTGAGATCACACTAATGAGTGTATATCGAATGACTTCATACATCATCATCATCATCATCAGTTATGTTCTTACTCTGGTACTTCATATTTGTGACAAAGTCTCTTTCATTCTCCATTAGGCTGTATACAACCATTCATTACCAGTAACTTTTTCAGAACTGTAACTAGTGTCATGGCACTGTGTACTGTTTGAACCATTCTCAGTTGTTCAGCTGATCAAGAAATTTCATGTTATTGTTGAACCTGAAGATCCATCACTACTCACAAAGCTTGTCATGAGACCTGGTTTTGATGGTTGCCATGTTATGCTTAACTGACAAGCGTATGGTCTTCACATGGGTTGTCATGTATTTATAATTCTTACCATTTGCCCTTTCCTGAGTTACACTCATTTTCATTAAGCCTAGTATCAAAATTCTACTGCATTGTGTAAGTTGTGTTAAATTTTGTTTTCATGCCCATATGACATTACCATGTTACATGTTAATTGGGGAAACAAATTCTGACGCCATTTGTTGGTCCATTATTGGATTCTGATGAACTAGCAGTCTGAAGTAAAATTCATTATGCCATGTGTCTGTGTGGGAGTCATTCCCACTTGAGGATAATGCGAATCTTATGAAGCCCACACAAATTTAAACATAAAAACTGAACATAAACCTGCCTATGTACTTACACACTGCACCATGGATGTACAGTTCCATGCATTCTAGAACTTGGCTCTGGTCTGGGTTGAGTGGTCTGTTTCATGTTTATTGCCTCTTCATTTAATTTTTGTAACCATTGAGTTGTTAGGCACTGGAAGAGATAAAGAAGACAATTTTGGCTCTTTAGCATTTTAGTTCTATATAACTTGATGCAATTTGTGCCACAGTTTTCTTATGTGAAGCATTCACCAAAGCTATTGTAGGTGTTGTGAGGTCAGTGAGTTTCTTAAAAGGTGGCTGGTTGCATACATTCAATTAACCTTTTCCAAATTTTCATTCCTTGCGTGTTATATATATATATATATATATATCTTTTGATGTATAAATGCTACAGAAGACACTTTACTTCCTTCAGTTACAGAATTCCTTATATAGAATTTAGCGTAACTTGTATGTATTTATGGCTACTGTGATACATAGTGTTGTAGTATGGATTACTTGTTGATATTCTTCAGAATATACAAGTATCAGAATTGTGGTACAGACTATGTTTGCCTCATATTAGATATATCTGTTTGTTGCCATACTTTCTCACACCAGTATAACATTTTCCCCAGAGATGTTTGAAGTATGAGTAGTTTCTTGCCACTTTTCTACTTTGTACAATACTTTATAATGTGTATAAGCATTGAATAATGTGAGTTTGTTGTTTCATTTTCTGTTAAGTTTGGAATTCTTTTGCCCAGCACTTCAACCTTCTGCTGTACCATTTAAATTCATGATTTAAATCATGGACTTAAATCAGTGCAACAGGACGCTAAAATATAACCATTTAAATTCATTGCATCCTGATGCTATTAAACCAGTTACTTTGAATGCTCTTTATACACTGTTTTATTATGTTTTATAAGATTCCCGATTTTTATTGTAGAAACTGAAGTTCACTGCCAAGGAAATGCATGTGGAATGGCTTGCTTCTGCTTGTGCTTTATATTCATGCATCCGCAATCTTGCCTGAGCAGCCAGTGCAGTAAGATAACCTCATTAGGCCATTGGGGCTGCCTGGTCTGGTTCTTGCATGGACTCAGAATGAAGTATAGTTTACAGTTTTCTCTGTAGAAGTGAAGTGTTATTGTCACTCTATGTGTGAGGATGTGTGATGGTGTTTTAGGTTACTTCAGTAAAGCATATTATGAACAACTCTGTTCCCATTTTCTTTGAGCTTGGAATATTTTTTTGAAAATTAAATTGATTGCATATAGAAGCACATCTACCTGCTATCATGTCCTGCTTCCAAACTGAAGGAACTGAACATAATTATGTTCAGTGATGCATTCAGTTGGTTTACTTAACATCGACTCAAGTACTGAGTGGTTCCTCCATCTCATGCTAGGGGCTGAGCAATGCAGAGCAGTTCGGACTACATCTCAGAGCAACCCAGAACAAGTTAAAATAGATGTTTCTGTTAAAGTGTTTCCCAAAACTCATAAGGTCAGTGAATTACTGTCATGTATGTTGCATTCACAGCCTTCCATATATACCATTTTCAGTGTTTTCTCATTATCAGGTTATTTAAAGAATTCTTTACCAGCTGAAGTTTGATTTCCTGAATAATTTGTAATGCAGGCAGTTTGCACCATTTAAAAATAGACTAGTATTGATGACAGTATAATTCATTTAGGAATTTCAGAAATGAAGATACTGAATAAACAGCCACTGGGGAGGTCAAGACTGTAGGGAAAGATTGGCACTAGCTGAAAGAGGAGCATTTGTGGGATGGTGGAGAAAATTGAGAGGATAATCCAACCTGGTAACAATGTCTCTGGATGATGATTACTTTGACTTTACTGCATTTGACAGAGTTTAGAGAACACAAAAAATAATATACACAAAACACAGGTTTCTTCTGTAACTGGTTTTATATTTCTTTGCCAGTCTCTGAAATAAAAATCTGTGGGAAGATGACATACTCTCCTCTATAAAAAGTGACTTGTGAAAGTTACAGATTAACAGGTTACTGTTCAATACTTGTTCTATCTACACTCATGTCTGCTATCTCTAATGTTTAAGATGAATAATTATTTGAAGTAAGGGGCATAATATTTTCAAATCACAAGAACACTTATGACAATAAGATGCAAGTTCAAGATCTTGCCACAGTGTAACCTTGTAGAGTGTTTCTCTCAATGTGACAGACTGTTGCTCATCTGCCATCATGTCTGAATCTAGTATAACCTTGAGGCACAATAGATCACTGTGGTCGCAGTGCAAGTGCCAAGAAGGCCCACCCCTTATACGGTATAATCTTTATTTTACATCTTTTGATTGCAATGTCTGCAGTTCAGATTGTACATAGCCATATTGTTTGCAGGCATGAGAGGGCCTCCTTAAGAGAGGAGAATGCCATGTTGATGGATAAGCTTGAGCAACTGTGGAAGATTCAGAAGCAGCAGCAGCAGCACCTTCTTGTAGCAAGTAGTGAACAGGCACTGCACGAGCAGGTCAGCACTAGCAAGATCTGTGGCAACATGTGGCTCTGTGCTTTGGTTTCTTACATTCTGTGACCTCAGAACGTTGTTCTAATTAGCAGGAAATGTGATGACAGACTTCCAAGACATACTTAAACCTGAAATCTTATACAGCGTTAGGATGTTTTAGAACAGATTGCTGAGAAAAGAAAGTAACAGGAGAGGTTGGAGTAACTTGCATAGTAATGGGCATCATAATTTTTATGCTTCACTGTGTATCATTAGGATGTCAAATCAAGGAGCATAAGATGAGCAGGTGTAGTGCACATAAGAAAAATAAGAAATGCATATAAATTTTTGATCAGAACATCTGAAGGGGAGAGACTACTTCAGAAACTTAGGTGTGGATGGAAGGATAATATTAAACTGGATCTTAGAGAAATAGGGGATGGGCATGGACTGGATTTGTCTGGCTCAGACTAAGTTCCAGTAATCTGCAGCGGCCTGGGTTCGGTCCCGGGTCTGGTCAAGTGGGATTTGTGGTGGACAAAGTGGCGCTGTGGCAGGTCTTCTCCAAGTACTTCGGTTTCCCATGCCAATCTTCATTCCACCAATTGCTCCACAATCACCCTCACCTATCATCTGGGGCTGGTATAATAGGCCAGAAATGGCGGCAGTACAAGGGACTTAGTCGCACCCCACTAGCAATAAAAAATGTTCCAATAATAACCCTTTGTGAACACTGTAACAAACATGCAGGTTCTGGTGAACCTCTGAGTTCCATAAGAGGCAGGAAATTTCATGACCAGCTGACAGACAATTAGTTTCTCAAGAAGATCTGTGCTCCATGAAGTTAATTAGAATTTAGTGATCCTTTGCTGCATATAATGTCATTAGTACAAACTCTATCTACATTCACAAATGAACCTCCATGTGTGAAAAGAACAGGGAATTTCTTGACCTGCTTAATGACTGTCAACTTTTGATATAAATATGCTTGGAATGTCAGTGAATCCCTTGCATTCTGTAGAACACAATTTGGGAGCTGATGCTCTATAACCTGTAATTGATCTGGTCTGACTTCAGCTCATTATGAAATGTATCTGTGGGAACTGCCCACATATCAAAATTTGTGATGCATGCACCTGTATCGCTTAAAGACATACAGTGAAACAACAGCTGTACACTCATATTAAGTTAGGAAATATAATTGTTGCCCAATCTTCTTGTCACTTTGAGCAAGCACAGAATCACCTGCAGACCACATGTTGTGCATGATATTTCTTGTGCATTAACACTATCCTTCTGTCTTTCAGGGAAGAAATGGCTGGGCTACAAAGTAACATAGATTTCTTAAGTAGCAAACTTGAGGCCTCATTTGAGGCTCAGGAGTGGAAAGGTAACTCAAAGAGTCTGCACTATTAGGCACAGGCATCTGCTTCCTTGCTTTTATGTCTTAATCACACCAGCATCACTCAGAAAATAATGCCTTTACTTAACCTCTAATGTTGGTCATTTCCACCATACAAATTCATCTGGTGCAGGCTAAACTACAGGGTGATTCATATAGAACCAGCCCCACGAAATGAGGTGTAATATAAATTATACCATACAGATATTAAAGTAATTTACACATATCTTGTCTTGGATCATGTGCCGTGATCAGAGCGGGCGTTGAAAGTGTCCACTGTTTTGAAGTAGGCATTAGAAACACTCGCTGTTCAACAGTGTACTCCATGACTGTCGCCTTGTACTCCATGACTGTCGCCTGCCCACTGCAAACACGTTTCGGCATTGTCCTTGACCTTGCAGCATAAGGGCTGCCACTTGCCGGATCATGGGCACGCCATTTGACTCAGCACAGCCCACGGATTATTATGTCATAATTGTGAGGGGTTATATGCATCACCTGCGGAATTATTAGCAAATTCATCGGGCCGGTTCTATACGATTCACCCTGTAGAATAAAGAGTACTTTTAATAAATAATCTTGGGTGGTGATACCATGCTATGGAGGTCTAGATTGCTGAGAACTTTGTGGTCTCCAGCTTCAAGACCGAATGGCTAAATAGCAATATTTATAATGCTAGACCATGAAATACATAAAATATGGGGAATTCCATGGTCTGATTGCTTGATGTGTGGCTACACGGGGAAGTAAATTGGAACATCCATCTGTTTCCCTATCTACCTCCTCCTCCTCCTCCTCCAATTCAAGGATTAGGCTCATGGCCTATTCTGGCTTCTATGAATACCACCTTCTGCATGATCTTCCAGGATCTCTTCTTCCTTTGGGCCTATATCAAACAGCCTGCTTTGGCACTCATTCTTCCATCCTTTCCACATGTTCAACCCAATTGTGTTTATATCTCCTTGTTTTCTGTAACCTCTTTACTACCTACCTACAGGAGAAAACTGAGAAAATCAACACAGAAAAGTTGTAATCTGCTTCCATGTTGGCCACATACATACTAAGCAGACTGAAAATTTTTCCAAGTCTCATAGCCTGGAATTATACATTTTGGTGCCAAATAACCCTCTGGTCTCTTTATCTTGATGATACAGACAGCCAAGTTCTCCAAAATGTCAGCTAATCAGCCATCAACAACATACTGTCATTCAAAAATGAAAACAAGAAAATCATTTATTAAGATTATGGTCTTTGGACTGTGATATTATGTAGTTCAGTATCTGTTCACCATTCTACATGGCATCACATCCCAGAAGACACCACAGACACCAAATCTGAACACTAATAGCTAATAGTCACATTGTGACTGACAGTTGGTCAGTCAGTCAGTCAGTCAGTCAGTCAGTCAGTCAGGGGCTCATGACCAAATATTTATTATTGTTTGATAGTTATCGTCTTGTTATTGTGAGGCGCCTTCTCTGACAAGAGGACGGGTCTGTCATTTGTCAGAGGCATTGTCTGCAGTAGTAATGCTAATGGGTGTTCTTTACACACTAAAAAGAACACCTTATGTTGAGGCCATATCTGCCCATTTGTCCACCCATATGTGACCTAGTGTCAGAGGCATGTGGTAGCATAGTTGGTTGAGGCACTATGCTACAATCTGGAAGGTCTCAGGCTTGAGTCCCGATGAGGTGGATTTTATTCAATTTATCTAATCCTTCCAGCCACACTGTGGCCCTGGGGTTGACTCAGCCTCTAACAGAAATGAGTACCAGGAACCTTCCTAGGGGGTAAAGGGTGGCTGGCATGTACTGACAACCTTACTGCCATCTGTGAACAGATTGTCTAGAGGAAATGTGGGAGCCTCAACAACTCACAACCCTATGGGCCTTCACAGCTTGTTACAGGAATAGCTTTACGTTTTTTATATGTGACCTAATGTCAGTGCTTAATCCATTGGACAGTTCTTTTTCTTCACTAAGAGTCGTTGGGAAAGTCCATTTTTAATTAAAACTGGACCCAATATTGGACACTTTATGAAGACCTACATGTGTTCCTTTGTACATCTTGAGCATAATGCATAACACAAGGTACTTCTCAGAGCAAAATATGTTTCAAATAGAGAGAAAAGTAGAAACACATTTTATATGCAATATATTTTTTGCATAAGTTCTCCAGCTCTCAAAATAATTAAATAGAACAAATTTGTTGCAATGTAATCTCATAATTCCAGAAGCACGGGACTGATTTTGATTAAATTTTGCACTAGAAATCCTAGCACAGATTTGTTGAATGTCATGTCTGTCTGTGACTGTCATTGCCTAAACCATTAGACAGATAAAAAGACGTACTGGAATTTTATAGATTGAATCCTCTATATTTTGCACAGATCTGTCTGACCAAATACAGTATGTGCCAATATATGCAGTACTGAAACTCACGCATCTCAAACGTGCATGTGCATTTATTGATGGGGCATAGCTCCAGCCGCACATGTTCCCAGTAGTGAAAAGGAAGTTGTGTTGTGCAGTTGTTTTTGGAAATGGGTCTCTCAACAGAGGAAAAAGTATTCATAGTTGAGTATTATTTCCGCTCATACGGAAGTTGTCGCCAGACAACTCGCTTCCTTGGTTTTGAATGGCCAGATATTATCGTCCAGAAACCGCTACATAGTACACGTGTGACGATATGGTGTGCTGTCTCAGCACATGGTATATTAGGCCCCTATTTCATTGAGAATGAGGAAGGCAATGTTCTTACCGTCACCCAAGAATGCTACAGGGACATGGTGACTGGACCATAACTTCAGGATTTGAGAAGGTTCTGTCATGCAAGGGACCTTCACATGAATAGACAATGGTATCAACAGGACGTCTTTTCATTTCAATACTGAAATTTTTGGCACATACTGTACAAGTGCCTAAATCATTGGACAGATTTCTTTTCAATTTGATACTGGATACAGGATTTCATCCTGTTTTTTTTGTCATTCAAGCCTTGAGATAAAGAATCATAGAAACTTATATTTAGAAACCTTGTTTCTTATTCATAAATACACACAATATGTTTAAACTGCAGACAGACATCATAAGGTGGAGTACACAAAATAGTAAAAATTGTATACTATAAGTGCAGATATTTAAAAATATATTTGAAGAAGTATAAGAATATAAAATGCAATGAATGAGGGTGGATCAGACTGCACTTTTACATGGGCACATGTATTAAATTGACAGCTGCACTCACATTATACACTTCACAGTCATTTCCAATTCATTCGACATTTATAAAGTTTATCTGGTTCAGATCTTGTTATATAATTTTGGCACTTTAGACCCTCATGTTATACTTTCTTTTTCTTCTGCATGCAGTCTGTCTCCATCAGTTCAAGCCCAATTACAGTTCTCTGCTGTAGATTCATATTGAAATTCAGAGTGATCTTATGATGATTAGCGGGTAGCCACAGGTGTTAAATGTAGTATAATATGTATTGAAGTAAAGGCTGATGTGATAGTGAGTAACTGAGATAGTAAAAGTTTTGTGTTTTTGAAAGGAAGAATTGAACGTTCATGTAGCATGGTGTATGCCCTTGTGACGATAGTCTGTATATTTGGATGTGAGATATATAGACCACCACTACAAGGGCATATATCATCCTATGTCAACACTCAGTCCTTATTCTCAAAGGCACACACTTTCCACGATCTCATTTATTTCTTCAAGGATGTGTAGTACACCTTTATTTTAAAATACACACCACACTACTTGACACTCCCTGCTATCCACCAAACACCAAAAGACTTCACCAAATATTAAAATTAACCTACAACATAGAATTGTAAGTTGGCTTGGAATAACTGGGAGAGACTCCACACAGAGATGAGAAAAAAGTATGACATGAGAGTGCAAAGAGACAGAATTATAAACTATATATGAGGTAATTCTGTATTTCAGCATCCTGTTGCACATCTTTATTAAACGTCCACATATTTAGTCCGCCAATAATGCAGCAATAATTAAAATATTCACCATTCAACACCAACATGACATGTTTCGGCCACAATGAAGACAACACCACATGTTGCCCAAGGGAACAACACACAAACAAGGGGCATATTGCAGATCACAGTCGTAGCTGCTGAAACAAACTGTCTGCAATACACGCATCACATAGCTTTAAACAAGTGGACAACACCCCTTACGAGATGGATAGGATTTTATGAAAGATTTTAAGTTAAGTAGACTGCAACATGCAATTTTAATCTGCATCGAAACAGTGTTAGAGTTTAGACACATTGAAACACCTTAAGATGGCCTTCTGAAACATATTGTAACATGCTATCTTACGGTCATCGCTGTGCAACAGCCACATAAGAAGTTAACAGCCTACAATGAGTCTTCACGGTTACGACAAATACACGGAGAGTTCCCACAGAGACAACGCAATAACAGTGGGCCATTGCCTGGGGCAAACAAATGCGTTTGTTGGTGTTGAATGGTGAATATTTTAATGATTGCTGCGTTATTGACAGACTAAATACATGAACATTTTATTTGAGGTGCTATTGGAAAGTTCCCAGACTAGGTCAAGAAAGAAATGTTGGTTTAACATACTCAACTTTGGCTGCCATCTCCTTCAAAATAGTCTCCTTGGGAATGTGTACAGTGATCCCAACATTTTTTGCACTCTTCATAAACACTGTGGAAGTGATCATTTTCCTTCATGCTATCGAGTACCGCTTGCAATTCCCTATGGATGTCAGACACTGTTTTAAAACATCCCTTCAATTTCATTTTCAATTTGGGAAACAAAGCAAAATCACAAGGCGCTAAATCTGGCGAGTAGTTGACGATGGGGAACAATAACCATGTTGTTGTTAGTCAGAAACTCTGTGGTTTTCATGGTGTGTTGTGATGAAGGATCCAGTTGTGGTTGTGCTAAAGTTCTGGTCGATTTCATCACACATTTTCTCTCAATCATCTCAAAACATCACAGTAAATGTCAGAGTTGACCATAGTGTTAGGAGGAACAAATTAAAGGAGAACAACCCCCTTCACATAAAAAGAACAATGAGTATGCTCTTTGTTGAACTTCAGACCTGCTGCACCTTTTTTGCTCGTGGTGATTGTGGCCTCTTCCACTGCATTGATTGCTTCTTTGTTTCTGGATCACAGTAAATCTGGCTTTTTTCACCCATTATGATCCTAGAGGTACAAGTAAAAGTTAAGTTCTGTTAGCCTTCTCTCATAGCTCAAGACACACATTTATGAGTCACTGCTTTTGATCATTTGTCAAGAGTCGGGGAACAAACTTCGCGGCAGTGCAGTACATGTTCAAATTTTCTGTTAAGATCTCCTGTCAAATTTTATAACTGATCCCATCCATGTCTGTGAGCTCATGGATTGTTCGGCGACAGTCTTCATATATGAGTTCTTGTATTTTTTCAACATTTTCTGTCATTTTGCTGATGCTTGGTCGCCCTGAAAATTCGTCATCTTCAACTGTCATTCAACTGGCCTTGAAACATGAATGCTGTTCAAAATCTGCGGTCCAGCTTAAAGAAGTTCTCCAGAAGCCACATGAAGCATTTATAGGGCTTTGGTAGCAGATTTACCAAGCTTCGTGCAAAACTTGATGCAGACATATTGCTCGATTTTGCCATCCATTGCTACAAAACGAAACACAAAGTCAAAAAAACATTTGTGTAAAAACAGCGCATGTTCCCAGCATGGTGGCACGTGGCAGACTGATGCAACAGGCTTGCAGAAGTGTGACCTTGGCCTCTCCTCTCATCTTTCTCCAATGCAATTACTAAAATAACAGTCCAGGAACTTTCTGATAGCACCTTGTAAATGTCCAGTGAATTGCAAATAACAGTGAATGTGTATGAGTATAGTGTTACAGGCACTAATACTTAATTTTGGACATGTTTTCAACCACCTTGTATTTCTAAGGTAACATGCAGTATTATGTGTTAATTTGCAAATTTTACTTTTTTAAATGTGGCAAATTAGCTTGTAGATAGTGAACTCTTAAAGAAGTAGGCTGAGAAACAGCATGTGTTTTATGTAGCAAGAAATCATTCTGTAATCCATCACAAATTATAGTACACACCTACCCTTTTCTTTGGCCTCAGTGCTTAATTGTAGCAATGAACAACTAGGTGGACTAAAACTGTCCCTATCTCTGGAGTGTGCCTACTACTGTAATTCATATTGTGATGTTATACATATGGACAGTTCATGAAATAATCAGTACAGTGAATCAAGTTAGTCCATTCACTTCAGACCAAGTGAATTGTTCTGTGATTCACACCCACTCTGATCTCTTAAAATACAGTATGAAGCTAAAACAGCAGTAAATTCATGTATTAGAAAATATGAATCTGCAATTTGAACTGTTAAGAGGGAGTTCTGGGTAGAACTCATGAAACCTATCTTTCTTCTACACAGGCTTTAGGCATACATATTTTGTCATCAATGTCATATTTAGGTAAAGAAAATTCATATCTGACAAAGTACCTTATGGTTCATGAGTTAGCATTCTGTACTGGTGCATGGATGATCATGGATGATTGAGTCTTAATTGAGATGGGTTCCATTTATTGCTTGCAGTTGTCAGTATGTTCATTATCATTGTTTGAGGAAGACCTTATTACAGTAAACCCCTGGTTATATGTTATTCTTATGCAACCAACAAAAATTTGAAAGAAAATTTTTGCCATTTTATAAAGTTATTTAAAAAATACAGTTGCAATGTGCCTCTGTTCACCTGTCAGCCATCACTAGCAGTGTTGCCAGTTGTCCACCCTCACACTGGTGCCATTATTGTTGTAGTGATACATGATTACAGTAAAGGCTAGTTGAACTTGCAATTTTGTTATGGTATATGCAAAATATTTTACACATCACTATGGTAGGTCTCTGAAGAAGACACCCATGCAAGGACTCAACTGAAAACATGTTTTGACTTTGAAACAGAAAATGGAAGTATTAAGTGACTGAAAAAGATGCGAAAATAATATGAATATTGGTTTCTGTAAGACTTTTCCCCATGAAATTGACAGATTTATGTAACTAGCACATCCAATTCCCCATGCATACAAATAAATGGGAGTTTACTGAACTACTGATTTTGTCTGCACTGAATTTGTCAGACATAATGCCAGAAGTTCATACCATCACATTTATAATTGCTGACTTATAAACAATATTTCACGCAAAATTTGTATATATGTGTATGCATAGCTCCACTGATTTGTTACTCAAATCAAAACCCAGGATGTAAATATATATTTTGTATGGCCACTGTGTTATTCTTTTACATTCTACAACAAAATTACCTTAACAGAATTTTCATATATTTTGTAGACCTATTGTCATACAAGATCTCAAGATCCAATATTAAGTGATGTTCTAGCTGAATTTCCACTTCACAGGTTGGTACATGCACAATGTTGTTATTCCCAACTGCAGAGAATTGTTGGAGTCATCTCCAGTGCATTCCAGTTTTGTGAAAATTGGTCAATCAATTCAACACACACAAACATAATAATGATCTCATAAGCCTACTTTCTGTCTTTAAGAAAGGAACATACACTAAAAATAAAATATGTGTGAGAATAAGTAGTGGTAAGGTGAACTTAATGAAAGAATGTTATTAAATTATAATCTGAAAAGAGCACTTCAAGAACCTTTTAGGTCTTACTTTGGACAATGCAACAGAATCCCCAGAAAAACAAGAATATCTATCTTCTGTTCTGTAATTGTAAATACTGCAAATTTAACCTAAGATGGCCAGTACAACATTAGGTTGAATGTGTGCATTATATATTTGATTATGAATCAGACTTTTTATGTAAGTGAATCATTTAGGAGAACAGAGAAAGACAAATCAAGCTGCAGATTTATATGTTACAGAGGGTCAGTGCATCACTGGATTGTTCTTCATTTATGTGAACAGAATCAGGCAAATCAATGCTAAAAAGTTAATACTGTGCATGTTCTACAGTATTAATTGCCACTGAACCATGCATGGGCATGTTAAAATATCCATATGGCTACTCTGTTGTTTGTTTTCACACCCATACATGGATGGCAGAAAATCCACAATCTGGCTCTGTCCTGCTTATGGTGACACAACTGCTGCAATGTTCTTTGAGCCTCATTTTTACTTTTGTCCAGTAAAATGATAGTTGTCACAGGTTCCTTTAACATGCATTTCTTGGCATGGTCCAGATATTTGTGCATTCATGAGCTGGTGATAATACTGGACAGAGCTGGAAAAGTGGAGAAAACTGTCCTGTCTCAGAAAAAATGAATACAAGCATTCAGACAATTTCTGCTAAACTTTGATGTTGTTTCAGATGATGACACATATGCCAGAGACTCCACTGAGTCACAGATTCATCCCAGATCCAAACAGTATGACCCTGAGCAGTACAACCCTCAGCAATATCAACAGTACCAACCTGAATCCAGCGATGACCAATATCAACTTGGGCCAAGCCAACAGCAGTATCAGTCTGAGCTCAGTCAACAAGAATACCAATCTGAATCCAACCAACAGCAGTATCAGCCTGAGCTCAGCCAACACCAGTACCAACATGAATCCAACCAACAGCAGTATCAGCCTGAGCCCAGTGAGCCAGCCACCAGTGAATCTCTCAGTGCCAAGGAGTCATTTCTCCCACCTCAGCCTCAGTTCATGGAGGCATGAAGTTGTGGAACCACTGCCACCACCACCTCCTCCACTCACATTAGAAGATTTGGCTACTGACAGTGATTCGTGAGACTTGCCGTCTGCACAGCTTTGTATCTTCAAAACACTGTTACAATGGCAGCTGCACAGTTGCCACTAGCAAGTGTTTGTGGAGGTAGGATCATCTTTCCTACATATTTCACCTATAAGAAATTCTTAGTCTGTCATGAGGTCTGGTTTCCCATAGTAGTCCCATAGTAGTATTTTGCCTGACCCTTTCAAACCCTGGACACAGGTCAAGACATCTCATGTCACATAATACCTAAGCTTCTGAATTCTGTACTGCATAAATGTGCCAAGTCTGTCTATGATACAGTTAATTTCTGATACAAGAATGCATTACAAGATGGAGATTGGAGCAGCAGAAGAGAAACAAGAAGATAAATTTCAATATTTTTACATTATCTCCAGAGTTGTATTCTGAAACTTGTAACTCTATATAAATATTTATTTGTGATCACATGGGTCTGAGAGGGCTAGAGTATGAACTAAAATGTGTCTTACACCTTTTTTTACTTTATCTAATTTTACTTCTTTTGATAGACTGAGATGAGACATTATTATAATTATCATCAATACTGTTGAAGTTTCATGGGTATCAAATCAATGTATATAATGTACCTTGCTGATACATTGAGTATAATATGTTACTGGACTTCATAAATAGGAAACAGGCCTGATGACATGCATAGTTTTAGAGGGTCAGTTGGGGCCTGGGACACATGATTGTGTTGGACATACAAAATCAAGGAAACTATTTGGTCAAGTCACTTTGAAACTATTAAGAAGTATCACTATATTTTATCATTGTAAGGAATGTGATAGAGTGGTATTCCAAGAACAAAGTGTGATTAGCGTTGTACAAACTGCATACTGATTATGAATGCCTTCTGTATCTATCCTAAATTTAAAGTTAGAAGAAACATGCTTCTTGCCACTGTCTGTATTTGTACACATTAAGAAACTGCTTAATTTGACAGCCTTTTTATAAAATGAATTGGTGAAACTTAATTTGGTTCATACTGGAAAAGTTGAGTAACTGCATTATGTGAAAGTACAGTCTGGTTATAACAAAATTTTAATTAGGAGTTCACAGAATGTGATAAGATTAGGATTTCTCAACATGTTTACACCTGGGCAGCTCTGAACCTGCACTGGCTGGCCACTTTGCAGTAACAAACCATTGTGAGATTTTAAAATGTTTACTTCTCATTTTGGAACATGTGAGTGTGTTATAACTTGACACTTACCTTTCTATAAAAAAAAAATCTGCTTTCTAGCTGCCACAGTATTCCAAAAAGTGAAGCAAATTTTGTTTCTGGTTAAATTAGATTTTTTTTAGCTCAGTGAAATGCCTTTTTGTGTGTATCAGTGCTTAACATGTCTGCTTTCTATAGAGCCGTTAGCTATAGACATCTGCCAAGAAATATGTGTACAAGATTTTAAATAAGGTATTGTGTGATTCTGTAGGCAATTTCAGAACTCACAGAACCAAGAACATGCCTTCTAGCTATGAGTGTTTTAATAAAATACAAATCCAAAATCAACCATATTGAACTACTGGGCATTCATTTTTACTCTGAAGACCATATCATTGTATACTGTCTGATTTTAATTAAATTTAATATTGGGACTATTTCAAACCCAGGAATATCACCCAAGAGAGAAGTAATTTTCAAGCATTTTTTAGCATTCTTCAAATTGCGAACTTTCACGCAAAATGTATATAAAGATTTTATTTCATATACATTACTGTCATGATCAGTCATGTTTGAAAACATGGCAATAGTTGCCTAAAATGTGTGTATATTTCACATGGCATTGTTATCAGATACTTCTGGGTATGTGATAGGGTACTTTATCTCTGATAAAAAGTTTTGAGATACATTCAAGACAAAGTTCAGAGTTGAGATTTTGTATTTTCATGTCTTCTGTTTTTCCCATTTCCCCCCCCCCCCCATTGTGGGCCCTTAAGTACTTCATGAAATTGACACAGTATACAATAATACAGATGGCAGTAGTTCCCAGACCCCAATTAATACTTGTGTATTCATGGTATTTGTACTTAAATTATCTCACTTCTCTCAGAAGTTGTACTTTCTAGCTAATTTAATTACGAAGTGTATATTGGTTAGTATGCAGGCTGGAATTTGTACACTACAAGGTAGGTCTCAGAGACCTTGCAAATTAAATGAACTGAGCAGAAGATGATGTTTGTTCTGTCAGTTTATAGCACTGCTTCATTAGATGTTCATCACTACTTTAGATCTGCTTGATGATTGTATCAAAGCAGTATGGCCCAAAGGGGGCACACCTTTCCCACTGTGTACTTCTGGATTGGAGGCTCATTTGGTTTGGAAATTATGGTTGTCTAAGGCAGATTTTGTCTGTGCTGTCATCTGTATCCTCCTTCTAATCACAACTCATGGTAAATAATTTAACTGATACATTATCATTATGCTACCATATAATTTAGTATGTAACTTTTGCTGACCAGTTTTGGTATACTGCATGCACAAAACCTAACAAATGGAGTCCATTATAGCTGTTTTGATATTAGTGAGATGGGTAGGATTTACAGGTGTTGGGATTTTTGGGGATAGAGATAACCCCCTCCCCCATGCGCTTTCGCACGCATGTGCACACACACACACACACACACACAGTACCTATTGTTACTTTGAATATATGGCCATCTTTAACTGCCTAGTTATGGCCATTTGAGGTATTATAAAACACCTGCTTTGCATATTAGGTTCAAATATTGCTCAGGAAACAAGCTGCCCTATGTAGCCATTTTACTGTTTTCTCCAGGAAAATGTATACTATTTTGCAACAGGCTTGTATCTCCAAATTTATCCATTCATAGTCTTCTTCCATTTACTTGATGCTAAATAAACTTGTAAAAATAACGATTCACTGAAAAAACCAAGTAAAATAATGATGAAGCTGGTTAAATTTCAGCTCAGGACTTCAAGCAGTGAAGTGATTTATGGAACCCTCAGTGTTTCTTAGTCATCGTGGGCCCAGAGATTCGTTCTGCTTGAGTCAGCACATATGAATGTGAAATCAACTGCCTTGCCTGTAGTGTCTTGATGCTGCAGGACTCTGAATGAAAATTGCCGTGACAGGACCACAGTCCTCATTAATATATTGTAACGTGTTTGGAGTAGATACTTCCATGGCAACACAATAACAGTGAGCCGTTGCATACAGAATGCCGAAACAACAAATGCATTTCCCTGGAGATGAACAACTGAAGGTTCATTGTGCAACAGCGGACTGTCGAAACAATAGAAACGGAACCGTGAGAAATGGTGTCTCGTATCCAGCCCGTATAACTCCTATATCAGAGAGTTGGAAGCAGACATGTAGACACGTATGAACGAGACAGTTAAGATCCAGCCACGGCTGAAGACAGTAGAAGTACTGAAGTAGAGGCAGTAGTCGTGATAGTAATTGTATTCCTGACCCTAAGTAAGAGTTCAATAAATAATCGTTGAATCCGAAGGCTACGAGAAGTTATTTGTCGTGTGACATACCCAACACATGACAACTGGTGTTCCAGAAGTGGGATTTGATTTACACACGTGATCAACAGGATACTAACATAAATACAAAAACAACGCACAAAAAAAATGGATTCTCAACAAATAATGGAATTCCTGCTGGCCATGCAAGAAAAGGCGGGTGCCAGACATGAGGCTGAACAGGCAAAGGCAAACTCCAGACTTGAGGAAATGCTGGGCATGCAAGAAGTGATTAGAACCAACCAGACCAAAGCGAAGATCGGCCACAAAGAGCTGCTGGCCAAATTGGAGGCTGACAGACAGGCCAATATGAAAGCATGATGAGAAGAGATGGCAGCCATGCGAGAAAAGAGGGATGCTGAGACGAAAGCCTGAGAAGAAAGAATTGCCACCATACGAAATGGAAGGATAACTGTCAGGCGATAAGAGATGAATGCCGATACGAAAGCCTGGCTATAAGAGATTGCCGCCACGCAAGACAAAATAATGGCCACCAGGCGAGAAATGATGAATGCCAGCCACAAGGTGATAGTGGCCAAAAGCAAACCCAAAATGGACATAAAGATGACGGCCTGCCAAGAGAGGGAGGCATGTCAAGAAGAGAAAGAGCCTACCTCACTGGACAGGAATCCTGAGGCGGCAGAGCAACGAGAGGTCCCCGTAGAAGACGCTGAAGTAATGCCGGTTGGAGAACCAAAGAATAAAAGGTGCAAGGACCAAAAAGCGGCCACAGACTGCTGCTGCCAGATGAATGAATGGACCCAGAGTCAGGACGGGTGCCAAAAAAGACTGGCAATCGCCCATAAAGGGACAAGCCACCGTGCAAAAGTGGCAAGGAAGACACAAACTGACCAGAAGGTGTCCCATCGAGCAACAATGGCATGACGCAGGAGAGCTGCCTTCAAGAAGGAAACTACTCAGAGAACTTTCAGATCCCGGAGAAAGGAATTGGCCGTCGCCAGTTGTCTACAGTGTCTCCGCAAGCAACCTCATGATGAGTCTCAACCATCATGGGGTGCCCATAGCAGCAAAGCGAAACCAGCAGTGGGCACTGTTGTGCCATGGTCTCGTACCAGCAAGTGGCAGGAAGACCAGGAGGGATGACAGCAATTGCAGACCACGCTTCAAATGCTGTTATGTCGACGTAAAGAACTCAAGGAAGACATGATCAAGGATTGGACACTGGAGGGGTCGACCCCATCAAAAACGAAAAAACGAAACGGCCCGTATGGGAGGAACTGGTAACACAGAAGCACTGGCCTCCCCATCAAGAGCGAATATGCGACAAAAGAATGAATGTGACATGATGGAATCAGCAACCGCTGGACCATGGAAGTGCTCGGGGCGAGCACTCTGGAAGAAGGGGGGTGGATGGATGAATCGAACATCAGAATCAAAGTAGGGCCGAGGTACCACTACGAAGGTGAACACCCGAAAGAAAGGAAGAACCTTTAGGCTCTTTGGGGATGAACAACCTTTAGAAGGGAGTAGTCTAACGTGTTTGGAGTAGATACTTCCATGGCAACACAATAACAGTGAGCTGTTGCGTAGAGAATGCTGAAACAATGAACACGTTTCCCTGGAGATGAACAACCGAAGGTTCATTGCGCAACAGCAGACTGTCAAAACAGTAGAAACGGAACCGTGAGAAATGGTGTCTGGTATCTGGTCCGCATGACTCCTATATAAGAGAGTTGGAAGCAGACATGTAGACACATATGAACAAGACAGTTGAGATCCAGCCACGGCCGAGGGCAGTAGAAGTATTGAAGTAGAGGCAGTAGTCGTGATAGTAATTGTATTCCTGACCCTAAGTAAGTGTGGATGAATGAGTTCAATAGATAATCATTGAATCCGAAGGCTACGAGAAGTTATTTGTTGCGTGACATACCCAACACGTGACAATATATAATAAATGTATTAATTAGACACAGATTAACTAGCAAGTTAACAACTTCTTGGGAAAACAGAAAGCAAGGCATTAAAAGCTGGGACACACTTCCTAATGGGAAGTTTATGTTACATCCTACCGACAGAAAGGAACTCATGTCTGTAGCACACAGTTCATGCTATACTATAAGACACTGGCATGCATGGTTTGAGTTTTGCTGGAAGAGAAATTTGCTTTCTGGGTAGATTTGTTTCCATTCTGTTACATGTTATAGAAGTAACTTATTTCCTCCATGTACGTAACACATTTCATTATATGGTTGCTTCTATTGAAGTGTTTATGATGTTCTTGCCATTCATTCGTCATTTTTAGAATTGTTTGAGAGATCACTGCAAGTCTTGAAAATGGATGACTGCTGTATAAGTAAACACATTAAATCATAAATGATACACTTGTATTTGATAAGACATGCCATTTAACTCATTCTGATCCATAGCTCAAGCGGTTAGTAGCTGGCTTCCCACCGCGGTGGCCCAGGTTCGATCCCAAGTCTGGTCAAGTCGGATTTGTGGGGGACAAAGTGGCGCTGGGGCAGTGTGACTGGTTAAGATTTTCTTGTTTCAATTATTCATGCCCTTAGGGCATGAAATAAGAAAATCTTAACCAGTCACACTGGATGGAACTAGTTAACTTTTTTCATAATATTAGTGTGACGGACGAGAATGAAACAAATCAAATTTCTCAGAGTACTTCGGTTTCCCCTGCCAATCTTCATTCCACCAAATTCTCTATCATCATAATCACCCAGGGCAGGCTACAATAGACCAATCGGTGGCCGCCGTGCCGAGTGGTCCCAGTTGGACTCCACCCCCAACTAAGCGAATGGTTTCAACTATCTTCTGTCTTCCCTTAATCTTTCTTCAGGTACAGGGGGCTCACAGTGATATCTACTGACCTGACAACCTATGTGATGAGTTTTTACGCTTTTCACCTCAAACAGTTTGCATGTATCTCCACTGGGTCAAGTTCATGGCTGGCAACAGCTCTTTCCACAAGTGGTACTCACAGGATTTAAAATGCTGTTACATCTGATTAAATGGATGGGAATTGTGAAGACAGTGAAGCTGAATTAAGGCTAATGACTTCAAGAAGAAAACTAACCAAGTAAATATAATTTACAACATTTTTTATAATATATATTTTGTATCACATGCTTACAATAAGGGTATGAAATTCATAAAATTATTTCCTCTGTGCAGACATAATTCATAGTATGGATTCATTTTGCATTAGGAATCATCTTCCATTCAGGTAAATATGGTAGTACACTTCAGTGCACTGTGAAAAAGTGGCTAGTGTCATAAATAATTACATTGAAATGTTAGCCTAGTAGAGAAGATGGTTTTCTCATTGTATTTCTTGAAATATTTCCAAATTCTTGCCTCAGGCTGAAAAAGTCATTCTTGCAAATGCCTGATTTACAGCATAAAATTAAAAACTTATTTGCCATATATTTTAAAATACTGTCAGAACAGTTATACAAAGACAAAATACTGGAGAAACATTGAGTTGTTACAAATTAAATCCTGGCCTTGTTGAATGCTATCTTTGACACAGTACATAGTATAAACTGAGTAAAGTTATAAGCTGAGAGGTGCTAACAGAAGAGCAATGTTAAGTTCACTGTGGTGCACAGTGAAGGATTGTCCAACAACAGTACCAGGTCACTAAGCATGCATGGATATTCATTGTTGCGAGTAGCCCACAGTGCAAGCGTATAGTTAAATCCCCACAAACTTTGTTGCACCACACTGAAGTTCCGTATTGTTTGGGATTCAATGTTGATGGTCCCAGCTGGAAAATCATCAAACAACTCCTGTATCCAGACCATTTTCCACATTACAAAGACTGTGTAGTAATGCCTTTAAATAACATTCCAGCATTTCATTATTCTTCTTTCTTTATATGATGCCTAAACTGTTATCAATCAGTACTCTATTGTGACAGCCTCTTACAAACTATTGCCTAAACTACAAGGACATGCATAAAATGCGACATCAGAAATTTTTTATTACAGGTGTGAGGAGGGTTGCACTAGATCTGAATGTGTTTAGTTGTCCCTAGTTTAGGATTCAGTTTTATAGTTCCCCAAAACCTTTATATACAAATGTCACTAATGAACAGAGGTAGTCTAGCCACTTCCCAACATCTTGGCTGTTGTGTAGAACAGTAAATGCAAGTTGAAAGATAAGATAAAACCAACAATTATTCAAACACAAATTAAATTTTCAGTGCCATAACCTATGGAGTTAACAAAGCAGCATTCAGTAAACTTAGAACCAAACAAATTCAGTTTGTAATAACCAAAGGCCATTGAAATTATTTGTGAATGTAATTAAAATAATAAAGAACAGTAAGTCATGCAAGTCTTTGTTTTGGGTGCCACATTCACAGCAGTGACAAGCTCTCACAACTTTCAGATTGAGACCACTACTTCTGATTATGCCATCACTTTCTCTCATGACAGCCTACAGCTTTATTTCATAAGGTAATTAAAGGGGTAGGGGTATAAATGTTAGTGAAACTGCTACTGAAACTTTAAGTATAAACATTGGCATAGGTTTACTTCAGCATGACAGAGTTCAGGAGATACCCTATGATTTCTATAGGATCCTGACTATATAAAAAATGGAACATATTACTCATAACATAAATTTAACTTTATGGTGAGTAATCTTTCTTAGGTATTTGCTACTAAAGCTACATTCAGATTAAGATGTTGATGGTTATGTGGAATATGCACACATTCTGGATATGAAACACCCAAAAAGATATAACACAAAGCTTGTCACTTCATTCCTGGGGGGGGGGCTTTTCACTGAATCTGCAGCCTTACAAACAACATATACATTTCTTGTTACACACGTTTATTGCAGGGCCAAGCACAGATGTCATCAACAACACCAATTAGGCACACAGTGCTTTACTTCTGATGAGTCTTTAATGGGCAACCACTCTCAATTGAAGAAAAATGTTGAGAGGAAACTGATTACTTACAAACATAAAGGAAGCAGAAATGACAACTGAAAGTAAAAATATACTGGCCCTTCTCACCAAATTTTAACATATTTTGATACTGTCACTGTTAAGCAGCACAATACCAAGCATAAAAGAACCGTCTGGAAAGAAAATATATAACTGCATTCCAAAGCAAGATATGAAGTGAATGAACATGTCAAAGATTATGCATGTATACAACAGCTGTAATTTCAGATTTGTTTACCGGCAACACTGACAAACCAGTGTGTCTCAAACTCTGATTCTCTCGATGACTGCTCATGTCTACTGTGTGTCAACTACATTGCACTTTATCAGTTCCCTTGAAACATCAGTTGACTGCACAGCATTCTCATAAGACAGAGCTCTTCGAAGTTTCATGTTTGCCTGTTGGCTTCAGTGACAGATCAATGTCATAAATACTTGTTTTTTTTTTTAAGACCTACATTTACCTTTATACTGTATGTTCCAAAACTGGTAAACCATACTGACAGAAATTATAATCTGCTGGAAGGCTTTCAGTTAACCACACATTTCATTGAAATCAAATAAAAATGTAAAAGTTGATAACAGAAATTTCATTTTCATCTTTTGGCATCACTGGTGTGACTTCAAATTTAATTTGATGTGCCTTAATTAATGAATGTTCCAGTTGAGTGGTTAGCACTCATGCTTTATTCAGAAGTCCCACATTCAACTCTCTGACAGGATTTTTGTGGCTTTCCTTAATCCCTTGAGGAAAATACAAGACAGTATCTTAAAATAGATAACCACATTCTTCCTCACTCATTCATCCTTCCATCCAATCAGTGCTATAAAATCAATTGATTTATATGCATTAATTCCTTCTGCCAAATTTCATGCAAGCAACAATGAGAGATAATTTTTTGTCTCACCCCCCTCCCCCCAAAATCAATGCAGTTGAAGCAGAATTGCCATGCAACCAGGTATGCCACCTTATCAAAAATAAAAAAAATCAGGGAACACCAGATATCCGTTCACCATTTAGTAATATGTACACTAAAATATGTTAGAAATTTCTTTACATCTTACTGAATTTACAAAAATTGTTCGAAATAAGATCCTCCACGTTCAATGCACAACTCACGACGCTGTGATACCATTCAGCAAACAGACTTTCTGGTTTAAATCTGAACATTCACATTAATATGACAGAATGCTTTCGGTTAACTGACTTCTGAGCCACTCTGTTGTTCCATATAACTTAAAGAAGGAAAAACATAATCACATTGGTTTTTACTGTGTTGAAATTATTTTAGAGCTAGCAACAGCATATGCAAGGGTATATCTAGTGACTGCATTTTCTCCTTTATGTCTTATCCACAGACCCAATGACCCAAAATAATTCTTAGGTGAAAATAAAATGGTATCATTTAAGGTTTCAGTACTTCCCACAACGAAGGGGAATCTCATAATTCCATGCACATTTTAAATTTGTGTTGCATAATAGTACAGAGGATTGGATGCACAAGACAGACTCCACGGAGGATAATGCTAGGCAAGTACTGATGCAGCTTTATGCAATAGTCTTCTGAATACAATTATGGCAAGACCACACACACTAACAGGCAACACTTACTTTTATTCAGGAATGTTAAAGTGACACTTTGCAATATACTGTATTTTCTTCAATAGCTCATGCACACCTTTCTAAGAGAGAAAAAAAAAAGGACAAAAACTGGGGTGCTGTTCATTCATGATAAGGCTGACAACACACCTCATTCCAAGAGCAACATCTCATAATTTCATCTTCCTTTCATGTCCATACCCATATGCAGCCACAGTGTATGAGTGGATGTTAATCCGTCAAGTGCTGTATGCATTTTTGTGAGCATGAGTACTTAAGGCATGCATTTCCATGGTTAGTGAAAAGAAAAATAATGAGGTGCAGACAAAATCAGAAGTCATGCTTACTGCAGAAAATACATTAGTGAAAGCTTTCTAAAATCTGAAAAAGGAAAACAGAGTCAATGTTGTCATATGTCTTTTCATGGTCAGAAAGTAGAACATCTTGAAACAGAAGACCAATTTTGTAAATACCTAAGTACGAAGTGTCAGTTCAGGTGTACAGTATCAACCAAAATATGTTCATTTAAGGCCCTGGCAAAAGAACCTGGAATCCAGGGATGGATTGAGAGGCTTTTTGCAAGAAACACTTTATGTAATAAAACAAAAAATGGAAGTCTTTCCCAGTGGCAGGATGTACAATCCCGGAAAGTAAAAGGCTGCATTTGAAATAGACTAAAACATCACATTCAAATTTCAAAACATTTGTATGTTATGCACCTTTATACTCAACATGTAGATTTTAATATACAAATAAATTAACAGACTTTTTTATTTATTATATCTTAAAAAATATCTTCAATAAGACAGGCACAAGCCATGAAGATATATGCAACAAAATAACAAAGGGCTGAGCTACTGCTATAATACTAAATTCAGTCTTATGGGATCGATATGGAGCACTGCATTGGTAATAAATATACACAGGAAATTGTTAGCAACGAAAGTTGCCTTTTGGAGGAGATATGTAAGGAAATAACTTCAAAACAATGTCCAGACTGAAGTCACTAAAGATGAGGCTAAAGTAGGAAATAGTAAGACTAAGTTTATGAAAATGACTGATATGGTATGGACAGTCTGTCAAATGGAACATCACCAATTACCAAGCCATGCACTGGAATGGAGGTCGGTGGAAAGGGGACAACTAATGAGGGAGTAAGGCCTATCTGAGGAAACAAGGAATCCTTGCAAGCAATAAAACCTTGAAGAAGAAATGGGATATGCAGCTCATTCAAAGGCATGGGATATTTGAGAAAATACAGTATATTTTATAGACATATATTTGTTCTGAAATATAATCCATGAGGGAAGCACTGCTGACACTGGTGTATTAGTATGCATTTTGAGACCATCAAACATTGCACTCTCTGTTAGCAGTAACACGGCAGCAAGGTACAACTGATGATATCACACTTAACAAAAAATTCACTGGCAGTCCTCCAACTCAAGGTCAAAGTCCTCTTCATCAAACAGTACTTCATCCAACACTGGAACCAATTGAGAAATAGCTTTATTAGATTTAATGTTCATTTTACAGTTGTACTGGATACACAGTCTCAGAATTGTCTAAACCATTAAGTACAACTGATCCTTATTTATAAAAACCTATGACAATTCTTTCATTATTCGGTCCTTATCCTTGTAGAAGATTAGTAGTTGCAGACTGGACTACCAGGTGAAAGTGAGAAGTACCGATGCTTCAGTCAGCATTACAGTCCATCCTCTGGCGAGAACAAATTGCCATTGTTAACAGCACGCATATCAGTAAAACCATGATTTGTATGAGTGGATCGACTGAGGGGTTGTTTGCAGAAATTGTAGCTAGTGGTGGAAATTGTTTATTTCAAAGGTTCTGCTCTTTTGTTCCATTTCAGATCATTCAAAATGTGTGGTTGCATATTAACACTTTGTGGACTGCACACCCTTTAAAAGGTTTTTCGCTTTTAAACGTGGCGGACCGTTCGCCTGTTAACAGTCTTTTAAAACACGATAAGTTGCAACACGCTATACATCTCTCTGGCGCCACCCAAGTTGCACGCAATGGCGTAATAAAACTCTGGAATATTTACTTACTTGTCAGTAAGTTGATCTCGCTGTTTTCTTAAGCCACTATAAGTGATATTGCTTTGTTGCTCTTCATGCTGTATGTATCAGCCAGTAGTTAGTGTTGGGGTATGGACAAGGACAAATTCTTTTCTGATGAGCCACCTGACCTGCCTTGTGAGATGCGTAGTTATGGTGTTTTAAAGTGAACAGTGCACAAGTTAGGGTAGTAGGTTTAAAAATGCCGGTCACCAGGGTTATTTAAATATTTAAATTGCTGGTCCGCGAAGTGTTAATAATGGTGGTGACGTCAAATAGCTATCAGTGTGTCTCAGTGCTAATTTTATGCCTGAGTACAAAGTCACTAAATCACCAACATTTACAGCTGAAGGGTTCTATCTTCTAGCAAGGGTGCTACATGTTTCATGCTGATTTCGTGTTTGGCTTACTCTTTAACCTTGAAGATGGAGGAGATATATATGTTCTTCTGAAATGTTGGTAGACTTTCAATGGACTACATGGCGTTATATCTCAGAAGACAGAACACTTCATAACCACCACTGTGAGAACCTGAAATCCTTCAACTTTTATAGCTACACTATGACCACTACTACAGTGCTACAAGTTGAAGAAAAAGACAGGTTAGGTGCATCTGATGGTTTGTTTTTACAACATTTTCTGCTGAAATTTAAATGGGCTTTATGCTAATGATTTAATAAAATGATAATATGCAACCCTACATGTTTCAGCCTTTACTGTTAACATATTTCCAAATGAACGCCTGATGACAATAAAAGTTTAAACATGTACAGATGTGTACTATAATATTGTGACATGTCTAACCATTGCTGGGCGACGGGAGGTGGAACGAGTTACCATGAAGACAGACCCTTGATAAACAGTCAGTTGACAAGTTACGCAACAGTGAGGAAAGTGGTGTTTGTCTGTGCCAAGCCGAGGCGCGCTGGTTGCTACACAGCATTGCCCAGCAATGCCTTTGTAAACACGGCGTCACGCAACAGGGGAGCCCGTGCAGCGACTGTTACTAGGCAATCGGTAAACACGATATCACGCAACAGTGAAAGCACACAGGAAAAGTGTGAATCCCAGAAAAGACTGGTCAATGCCCACAGAGGGACGAGCCACCGTGCAATAGTGGCATGACAAAAGCAGAAGAGAAATGATACAAGGATGTCCCATCACACAACAGTGGCACGACTCGAGAGAGATGTCCTCAGGAACACCACTCAGAAAAAATGTGGACCTCACAAGAGATTGGGATTCGCCAGGAAGAGAACGACCCGCCGTGCGAAAGTGGCACGACGGAAGGAAAACGTCATTGGGAGAAACCGCACCAGGGCCATGACTGAGTGAGCAACTCAGAAAGTAGGGCCACTCAAAAATAATTTACGGATGCACCATAAAGGAACAAAGGATCGATGCAGCAGGAAGAAGAGGACAACCATGGACGGCATCCGGAAGTGGAGCGTGGGAGAGCGAGCTCTTCTGGGAAGCAAAGGAACACTAAGGACAATCTTATATGAGACCTACAGTCCAAAAAAACACTAAATGAATGCCCAAGACTTCCAGCAGGACGCAGAGAATTGTGGATTGGACCTTGTGGAGGGGAAGACCCCCTTAAAAAGGGAAAAAGAGACTTCAAGCAGAGGAGGAACTGGTAATGTAGAAGTAGTGGCCTCCCCAGAAAGAGTGAATGTGCGATGGATGAATGTGAGGGACGAATGTGATACAACTGGATCTCCTAACAAGTTAACAGGAAACTGCTTGCGATGAGCTGGTCTTAAGAAGCGGATGTAGCAGTTGAAGAACGGACAATGGGAAGAAAGAAACACTGAGCCGGACAAGCATAGCTTTCACTGTTGCATGACATCGTGTTTACTGATTGCCTAGCAACAGTCGCTGCACTGGCTTCCCTGTTGCATGACGCCGTGTTTACAAAGGTGTTGCTGGACAACGTTGCATAGCAACCAGTGCGCTTCGGCTCGACATGGACAAACACCGCTTTCCTTACTGTTGCGTAACTTGGCAACCAACCGCTTATCAAGGGTCTGTCTTTGTGGTAACTCGTTCCACTTCCCGTTGCCTAGCAACGGTTAGACATGTCACAATATTAATAAACTGTCAGGTGTATTTAATGGTTTTGACAAAGTAAATGTAGCCTTGTCATATAGCCCTACACATTATATACCAATTTATTTGAAAATGTTTCTGAATATAAATATATGGAACACAAGATGACAGGATTATAATATTAAAATGGAACATAGGAACCGTGTTGTAGGGATGAGAAACTGATTTCTCTGCTAGAGATACAGTCATTAATAAAGGATGAAAAAGAAAAAAGTACATGAATAAATGCTTGTTATTCATCTGAGAAACTGAAATCATCCTTACAAAACAATTAACATCAAGTGGGAAAGAAACAGAGGATATTAAGACAAGCATCTGATTTATAAAGCTTATATAAAATTTTTAGGAAAGTGAAGGGAGGTTACAATAGGCTTAACTGTGACTTGGACTTCAATAAATGTAATGAGTAGTAGGGGAAACTGCTAGAAAGTGGCCAAGTGGCCACTTGGAAGAATGGGGAGGAGCCAGAAAGATGTTTAAACTAGGTCTTAGGAAAACAGACTGTAGTGACGCGATAGTATCCAATCCCAGACAAAATGTTGCAACATTTTTGCCTTGGTGAACATGTATATTTATGTAAGCCAACAGGGTGGTCCTTCAACTTGGGTATTAGACTTGAAAATGTAACCCTTTACCATAAAAACTAGTCTTTCACAAACTTGTTACAATGCTTCAGAAGCAGTATGTGATAAGTGGGACACAGCACACATTTGGAAGCAAGTAATGTGGGATTGGGGGAGACATTTGGTTAAATGACCTCAAGAGAGTTCAAATATGGGAAGATAACATTAGGATGGGAAACAGGTTCAGAGAATTTGAAGTGGATTCAGAGGATGTTATGGCAGGCTCTGGCAGTGAAATCTTTGAATTTGACTTCAGTGAACTACTGAACATGTGGCAACCCTGCACACTCACCTTTGAACACATTCTCCATTCGCTTCAAGTTTTTCAGAGTTCCTGATAACTCTTTGGATGGACTTTTGGTTTGTGGTGAGTTGGGGCTAGCTGAATTCTCCAGCACCTCGATCACAGCACTCAGTTTACCTGCCCGATCGCTGTCCTCCTCATACAGGTATCTATTATATCACACCATAATTGCCTCATTCCATTTCAACTGTCCACAGTTAATCTCTTATTAGAGCTTGTAATGAAAAGTCATAGTGAAACTGCCCAGGTGCATAGTGACTTTACCTTTGCCTTTACTTATCAGCAGCACACAATCTTCAGGTACAGTGTGCTATGGGCTGTTACATAAAATTAAGTCTGTGTGCTACCAACACACTGAATGAGTCAAATGGCTCAGGCATGTACCATGACAGAGAGGAATTATTTTAACTATATAAGAATTCAGATCTCCTGACATTTGGCAGAACCAATGTAACTTACAGCAACACTGCCAGCACTCATGCTCTCAAAGAAGTAGCATTCTAAGAGAACAAACAGGAAAGACACTGTCTGTATTGTAATACATGATTATAATAAGTGTAAAACAGAATAATCAAACATACAACCACACTGACGTTCCTCTCCAATCCAACATAGCTAATGGTTCACCATCACTGTTACTACTTTCCTCAATTTCTGCATCCCTGAAATTCATAATTTTTGGCTCTGATATTTTGTTGCATCCAGTTTCTTTTGAACACCAGTGGTCTTACAGATTTCCTGCATGGTTTATATAATACACCCAGATTATCACCCTATCAGTGTTTCCTATTTACCAGTGCCTTCATGTCACTAGTGCAACTGTGGGAGGGGGCCACATAAGCTTTTGGCTGTTCGGTCTCGACACTTGAGTAATTCAGTGAGCTTCATTTTTCTTCAGATACATATTACAAAAACATAAAGACACACTGAACATGACTACAGATAACACTATAATAACCACTAACACTACTCCTGCTTCAACTTGGCTTACTGAAACATACAAGTACAAACTGACCTGGTCTGAGTACTGATGTTTCATAAGGTTAAAATACATCATGTGTACATCTAATTCACCTTATAAACTCAGGAAGGACACTAAATCACTTTTCAGACTAAACAAATTGAAACAGGAGCTAGGGTAGCTCAGTCAATATAATAAGTAGCCTATGGGGTGGTTGACTGGGATTCTATTCTTGGAAAGTGCAGAGATTTTTCTCTTCAGCACATCGTCCAAATCAGCTCTGGCCTCCTATCCAATGGGTGTGAGGCTGACCACTCATCTCTGTACAGTACCAAGTTTAAGAATATGTGGAGCTATACTTCCACTCCCCCATATGTCTTCACAGTATTCCATTAAGTACAGAGACAGATCTACCTTTGCCTTTAACCAACTGACAACAAATGCCAGTGCTGCAAAGTGTCATAACTTTTTGATCTGATTTCCTTGCAGTGTTCTTGGTATTTTGTTACATGAGAAACAGTTACAAATGAAACATTGTAAAACTTGTAAGTAGTCCGACTAGGAACATGGGACTCAAAGCCAGTACCTTTTCTGAAGTATGCTTGCTCTATGAATACAGGTTTATTTTAACTTGTATTGTAACTATGTTACCTAATAAGTTGGGGAAAAAATCATTGTTTTCTTGGCAAAAGAAAATGTAAATATGGCAAAATTAAAATAGCATTAAAACTCAAACTACTAGTGACAGAAACATGGTGTTTGCTCTTCCACATTCAGGAACTTGCCATTTGCTTCAGTCACTGATAACATGAGTAATCACACAATACATTTATCCCTCACAGTGGCTGGTCAGACACCTCGAATTTGGCAACACCACACACATCTGCATGGCCACCTTGCTATAAGCAAACATGTCTCAAATGTCAGGAAATATGAACCCTATTCTATACATGTACCATTAACACTACCATCATCAGTCACTGAACTTTATTTTCTGGTAATACACTGCTATCGGTCAATTAACTTTTAAGATATAACATTTACAGCTCAGGCATAGAAAATGTTATCCCATATGGTTAAGCACCAAGAAACTCTTAGTTTGAGCTAAGAAGCCAATTTGTTTCAAGATTCTGCAACAGGTGGTGCAGGAACTGAGTCCAGTACAACACAAAATCTACTTGTAACACAATCACATGGACCTGAGCATGTTTCCTTTTCAGACAGATTTCCATTTAACACTGGCACTCTTTATAAAAATACTGCAAAATACAAACTTTATGTATTACATATTTGTGATTCACACAAAAAATAACTGGGACTCGTTTCCTATGTACATATTATTGCTTTTTCTAGTAGTCCATTAAAGTATTTTGTGTATATTTTGTCACCGGTCACACTTAACTCTTCTGCATTTGAGACAGGCATGTTCCTTCTCATAAATTCCAGACAGCAGAGTTTAGAAGAAAATTACATGAATATATCAAAAATATCCAAGCAAACTATTCTGAATGCAATTACTCCTTTTCACTTTAAGCTTCCACACTAAAGAGTTTCTGTTTAACAAAGATAATGTTACATCTTCACTCTACATTTTTCAGACCATAAATTGTCCAATAAATGTATGTTTCATTTTAGACATGACTTACTATAGCATAATCATCTTATAACTTTCTGAAAATGGTTGAACCACTCATGCTGAAAGATCAGGCGCTCCTCCCACCAAGGTGGGCCACATATACATGTATATATATATATATATATATACACACACACACACACGCGCGAGGGTTGGAACTTTAATAGTGGCAACTATTTATTTACAACTGATACAAAATAGATGCATGTTTCG